TTGAATATATATTTATACTTAACTTTACTGATGCAAAGCTAATAAATACTAGGTTTTAGCAAACTAGATTTCATATTATATAACCAAATAAATTTCCCTTAAACAAATTAACATAAAAAACAAAAATTTGTAGAATGACTCAAGACTCAGAATAAATTCAAGCTTAATTTCTAGAGCCACTAAAACTATAACTATACTTATATTATCCCCACCAACAATCAACAAAGATGTGAAGAGATCCAAAGAGCAAGCTACAGAAATGCTAGCTAATAGATGCGGCTTATTTCCAACTGTATAGATATTTGTCTATATCTCTCCCGAACTTTCGTTCTTTGGTAATATTTATGTTTCTGTTTACACCTAAATTTATCTAGAAATTGATGTATTTCCCATATTTTTCCGGAACTTTCATCCCCTTGGGCCAAAGACCTCTAGATGTTCTTCCAACTTCTCGAAATATGACGTAGTCTGCGATATTTTTCCCTTGTTTTGAGACAGCATTGACGCATCTTCAACATAATTTTTTTTTAAGTTTTTTTTGGCTGTTTTCATAACAGTCGAATATTTGCATATGCGTCTGGCCGTAACATGTTTGTCGTGGCCAGCACGACAACAACTTGGCTAACACGCTCTGGCCACATGATGCGGCTGATGATCTCCCCCGAACTAGATCAGCGCCTCGGCTCGAGGTATAAAAGCCGCGCGACACAGCCGCTTTCAAAACACAAACCCAAGAGCAAGCAACGTGGCTAAAACAAGCAACCAGAAAATTTCATTTTTTTGTGAGATTATAACTTTTTCGTAAACGTGCCAAATCAAATGTGTCAATGAGGACACCGGACTCCAAAGCGAAGCTTTTAAATAATTTAAGGTCAGTTTGTTCAAGCGAAATCAAATGATGGACATTTTTAACTAATTTTATATTTATCGCACCACCTGCAGCCTCTCAAAGCATCTATCCTCCAAAAAGGGTTCACGCACCAGCAACTGCGGCAATCGCCTGGAATTCTTCGTGCTCACGCATCTGACCAACGTGCCCTGACTAGATCAAGTCGCGACTGTACACACTTTGTAACTGAAAAATTGAACTCTTGAGCCCACACACTATCACCATGGTCCATCAGACTCGCACCGCTAGCAAGGCCGTTCCCGCCAAGCACCTGAGTCCCATGCGCAACGCGCAGGACATGCAGCCCGGCAAATACGGCATCTCCAGCAGCCCGGCGGACAGCTTTCTGCGCAGCAACAGGCTGAGCGTTGGCTCTGGCCACCAAGGCAACAACAGCAACAGCAGCAGCAGCTCCCAAACTGCAGCTGCCTATAAATACAACAATATGGTCAACAATAATCGGGAGCAGTTCAATGCCCTGCACTTCTGCTAAGCCGCATTATGATTAAGTTGAGATGACGTCTGAAATAAATATATAATATATAATATTTCAATATTAATTGTGAACGCCTGTTTTAACTCATAAATCGAAGTCACGTGGCGCAGTTAAAAATTATATATATGTGTATATACATATTTTCTTTTTTTTTTTTGGATTTTCCTCTCACTGGCAAATTAAATTATTAGCATGAATTTCAGTGCCCCGCCCACGCGCATTGCCGACGGCTGAAAAACATTTTTCATTGTTTGCGGCTGTCTGCGCTCACTTTATCATCGCATGCAAATCACACACACATGTGTGCGTGTGTGCGGGTGTGCGTGTGTGTGTGCGCGTGGTGTTTGCCACATTTCGCACATTTGAAATTCAGTTTTTTTCCAACACACATTTGCCATATTTCTACATTAGTGCAAAATCAAAATGCTAGCTCGGATTTGCATAAATTTTGATTAGCTTCGAGGCTGAAAATTTCACTTGGATTCCCGCTAAGCTGGCCAAAAACCTGACTGGGTGACTCCCCCAACCATGACAATAGACACGTTTTTATATGTGATGTTTTATTAAGACAAGAATCGTATTTATCGATAACTAAACATATTTGACACACTTGCTGCTTGGTCACAAATAAAAATATGTAAAATATGCTTAGATTCCAGTTTGTTGGAATTGTTTTCAGAGCTTTAGCAGGTTCTATATGTACCTCTTGACTAGTTATTGAACAAACTACA